AGCATCGTTGTTGCTCACCCTTACAGAGATCAGTAGCATTGTTGCTGCTCACCCTTACAGAGATCAGTAGCATCGTTGCTGCTCACCCTTACAGAGATCAGTAGCATCGTTGCTGCTCACCCTTACAGAGATCAGTATACGGGCAGTCTTTGGAATCCCGAAACACGTGACAGCTAAGAATTTGCAGGCTTCTCTTGCATTTGATTATGTCCACCAGAAGAAATACCGAACAACAGTAGTGTTCAAGATTATCACAGAGGAAACCATTGCTCACCAAAAAAACATTGCTGCACAGCTCAAGTTTCCCAAATGATCTGGAAATTGTATAGCAGTATCCATCCACCCATGAGTCTTCTAACCACTTACCCTGGTCACGATTGTGAGATTCTGCAACATTACTGGATCAGTCATCTGTGGGCAGATTACAGGCACAAGTAAATGCGCATAGTGTTTTGTTTGTCAAAAACTGAACTCTGCATACCAGCATCACAACCTCATCCCAGCAGAGAGAGGACAGTGGTGTGATGCTGCTTTACTGCCTCAGAGACTGGCAGACTTGCAACCATTGAGGGACCAATGAATTTTATCAGAAAATTCTGCAGCAGAATGCCAAGGTGTCTGCCTCTAATCTAAAACTCAGAAGACATTGGGTCATACAACATAACAATGAGCCAAAACATGGAAGTAAATATGAAGCAGGCCTCACAAAGAAAACATCCAAATAATATACATAGAAGAATGTAGAGAAATACTTAACCACTACACAGGTGTGATCAGCGCTTGCAGATTGGTTTTGGTTTAAGTTATTAAGGTTTCGGTGTAAGTTGTTATCAGGAAAGGAAGTTCACAAACTTTCCCCATCAGTAACCTCGATCGTTTAATTAAACTATTTGTTAAATTATGATATGGTCATGTAAAATGCTGCGAGTAAGACTATTATTATGATTACATGAAGATCTACATGGAGATTTGATTCAGAAATCCAGATAATTCCAAAGGTATCTTTTTCTCACTTTTGCACATCCCCACAACCACAAAAGGCTTTGTTACAGTAGTGCAGTAGAGCTGCGGTATGTGAGCGTGTAGCTGTGAGGATCGGGGCTGTCTAAGGCAGCGGTTCTGGGATATCTGGTCACCTGAGGGTAGCTTTGCCCTGCATCAGCAGTTTCCGCCTGCAGAGCTCTTACTGACATCTGCCCAGGAACAAACCAAATTGCTCCCCTATGACTCTCACCCTTTGGCCCTCTTGCTACTGCAGATTATCCTTGTGGCATTTTAACTACATTCTCTAGTCTTCATTGTCCACCACTAAAAAAACGCTTACTCAACCGTAGAACGTTTGGACGCGTACATTACATTTTTTTCCATGTTATGTACTGTGAAGTGCATCAGAAAAGCTTTTCCTGAGGTTTGTTCTAGAGGGCTTTCTTAGAAACCACACAGAGTAGCGTGTTCTTTAAATATTGATTCGCTGTTTATTTTTATGATGATGATTCTTATTGATATCGGAAAATTCCACGTATCTGCTTCTGGACCCTCCGGCACTAAGTCTGCGCAACCTGAACATATATAATATGCGAAAACCAGAGACCTTTTGTAATGCCCTTCAAATACCTTTGAATGCAATTAGAACATTAACTGCTAAATGACATTTGACACATTGAGAGCTGGATAGCTGCCCAGTGCGAATTATCTTTACTGAGGTGCTTTCTGCTATTAGAGTGACTGAACTTAAGTATACCTGCTTTTCGACCCCATAATGCAGACTAGCGAAAATGATAGTCAAAGAATGAATCTCTCTGTAACGACCTCATTGCATAAGGCTAATGTCTGCACGTCAATTCTGCCGGGAAAAAAATAATGGGTAATAAAGATGAGAGAAGGGTAGGAATATGAGAATCCATCTATCTTCTGAAACTGCATGTCCTATTCAGGGTTGTGGGGGAAGCCTACAGCTGCAAGGTAGGGAACAATCTGGAATGGGGCGCGAACCCATCACAGGGCACACTCACACCATTCACTCACACATGCACACCTATGGGCAATTTAGCAACTCCAATTAACCTCAGCATGTTCTTGGAGTGTGTGTGTGTGTGTGTTGGGGAGACTGGAGTACCTGGAGGGAACCCCATAATGACACAGGAGCCATGGTGGGGACTCAATCCCTGGTCCCAGAGGTGTGAGGCAACACTGTACTGCCCCCAAATGTGAGGATGTAATAACTATAATGATCTATAAAGTTGAACTGAAACATTGTGTTTTATCTTAGTTCTGTGATTAAGAGAACTCGTTAAACACATCATAGTTATGACTAGGAAGCTGCCTGGGTGGGGCCACCATACACAGCATTCCCGATTTCTCTGTGGTGGAGTTCACTCTGAGTTCAATCGCAAGAAGACACTCCTAAATAAAAGCAGCTGCTCTGTTCATTCTGACGTATTTTATTTATTTCTCCCTGGTGTGACCACAGTTCACCCATGAGCCCATGGTTTAGTGTGTTCCTGTATGGACACTATTTGGGGAAGTGCAACTTTAATATGAATTCATTATTTTATCATTTTAACATCATGCTTATGAAACTCAGGAGTCATGAATCTTCTGCCGGCTGTTGTTATTCCGTCGCATGTCACAGATATAAATAAGTTGATAACTGAAACTCTAAAATCAACCTGTTCTCAGGCAGAGTTTCTTATATGTGTTTAAGAGATAACGGAATTACTGATAATTAAGAGAGAAAAGACAGAAGGAAATTTTGCATTCAGTGGCCCATATGCTGAAAAATCCCATGAAAGAACGTCACGGAATCCAGTCATTGTGGGAAATCCGTCAGTTAGGAGATGAAGACATCAGTATGGAATACAGCATAGAATAAGCATCCTTCTGTTACAGGACCACACAAGAGTTGTCAGTCCCATCATTGATGTGATCAGCCTGGACAACTTTGCCTACCTAGCGGCTTCCGCAGACTTGCGGGGGGGTGAGTCCTGGTCTTCTGTGTCCTTGGCGGGGGGGTTTAAATGGATGATGCGCTGGTTGAGGTCTCTGCAGCCACAGGAAGAATGGAAAATGCACAGAATTGTAAGGATTATAAAATGAAACCTACCCTCGTGATTTTGTACCTCTCTTTGCCTTTCAGGGTTTGATTGGAGTTTGCATTTCAAGTGGGAACAAATTCCCATTGAGCAGAAAATGGCAAGGACTGACCCCACACAGCCAATTAGGTGTTTGCTAAAACTGGAATACTCTGAAACATTCTGATCTATACATTATTTAGTGTGTATGTAAGATGGAATTTTTAGTGTGTGCCTAAGATGAGGGGAAAATGCTCAGTAATACTCTTTCATGTGTTGCAGTAACAACTGATATTCACTTTGAAGCATAATTTGGGTCCATCCATATTCAAATTCAAATTCAAAATAACTTTATTTGTCCCCGAGGGGCAATTAAAGACACACAGGGCAGTTGAACAAGGACACAATGACGTAAAGTGCAACAGTATCTGGTATTTATAAGATATCATATATGAAATATGATATATAGAATATGTTCTCTTCTGGGTCAATTTGAATTTTGCCCACACTTTTCTAGTGTTTCACAAAATAGTGAATCTTTCTGCCATTTTACTCCATTTATGTGTATTTGTAAGAGCTGAGCAAACATTTCTGTTCCTCAGGACTCCAGTCATTGCAGGTGGCATCTTTGTGATGGACAAGAACTGGTTCAACCACTTGGGCCAGTATGACACCCATATGGACATCTGGGGTGGAGAGAACTTTGGTGAGCTGGGAATTAACAATTATGATCAAAAACACAATTTAGGAAAAAATATATGTTCAGATACAGTAAGCAAAAGTGTAGAGTGTATGTACAACATGCCCTGGCAAAGAAGCCACTATTTACCATTTAATCATTTCAGGGAAATTATATGGAGAAATTTGGTCTAGTTTGCTGAGAACTTCTGGTGTCCACATGTCATGGATGTTGCAAACCCTATGTGGAGACGATCCCATGCATCAAATACCTTCTCTGTGAACGTCAAAGTGTTGTAATGTCTGTAGGAGGAGGCCTCTCTGCTCTTCATTTGGCGATCCTGAGCAGAAGTGGCATTCCTTATCGTGCTGCAAATTAATTCCACCCACGACTGTTTGCTACTAGTGCACTACATCATTACCGCACAAAAGGCTGTTGTTTCAAGCAGGTCCTCGCCTTCCAGACGTTTGTGCTGACCTGGCATTCTCTACACCTCTTCCTGTCCAGCCCTAATAACACTGCTAACATTTTTAATTATTTGCATTATGATATGCTTAGTCTTCTATATATTTCATTTATGAATCCATTATAACAATGTTTCCCAACCCGGCTCTCGGGGACCCTCAGACAGTCCATGTTTTTGCTCCCTATCAAAAATGTGGAGACTTTGGCACAGAGCTGGGAGGGAGCAAAAACATTGACTGTCTGAGGGTCCCCGAGAGCCGGGTTGGGAAACATTGCATTATAAAGTACAATGTACCCTCGACATTAGGCTAATGTATCCATTTTTTCTTTAACCTGACTTTAGTCTCCATTCCTCCTTCATTGGCCCTCACCATTGTATGCTTGTATCTCCAACTTTGTCTCCACTGCTCAGAGCTCTCGTTCCGCGTGTGGATGTGTGGGGGGAGCCTGGAGATCCTGCCCTGCAGCCGCGTTGGCCACGTCTTTCGGAAGCGGCACCCCTACGACTTTCCGGAGGGAAATGCTCTCACTTATATCAAGTGAGTGGGAACCTCATCCTTCTCAAACCAGTAGAGGATAACGCCTTACTTGAGGAGGCACATGTAACTTAGTAACTCAGCTACAACGCAAGAACAAGTATAGTAACTACATGACATACTGTACATGAACTGTTATGAATGATTAATGATGAACGAACATGGGATCAGTACATAAGTAACACTTAGTTTATGGTTAAATATAGGGAGGGCAGCATGTGGCCCAACAAGCCAAGCCTCTGTGCTTGTGATCAGAAGGTTGCTGGTTCAAGTCCAGCTTTAGCCAAATAACAATGTAGCCTGTGGGCCCTTGAGCGAGGCCCTTAACCCCCAGCTCCATGGATGCTACTGCTGGAGGCTGCCCTTCACTGCCAAGCTCGCTGTCACCTTCTTATGTGCGTCACTGAGAGTAAAAGGAGAACCTCGATCCCCACAGGAGTCATTAGAGTTTTATTATTATTAAGTAAAAGTGTTCCGCTACATTTTTGAACCACCTCAAGTAAAGTGCTACCCAGTAGAGCATTTATTATATCAGTCCATATACAGATAGGGCTGGGGGGTGCTTATTTATCAGAACTCTGTTACTCTCCTATGTTACTCAGAAACACTCGCAGGGCTGCAGAAGTATGGATGGATGAGTATAAGCAGTACTACTACGCTGCCAGGCCCTCAGCTCAAGGCAAGTCCTTTGGCAGGTCAGTCACTTTTAAAGCTCAGTAGTTATTTCACTGAAAAGTTCACCTTTGAGAAGGATACATGCATTGTGTGATACTCAACCTGCGCTGTGTTCCTTCCTTCCCACCCCGGTCTCTGCTGCAGCATTTCGGACCGCTTGGCGCTACGGCGTAAGCTGAACTGCCATTCTTTTGGCTGGTACCTGGAGAACGTTTACCCTGAACTGAAGTGAGTCTGTCGTCCAGGTGTGAGAGGTCTCACCCAAACAGCAATCAAACTTGCCGCCGTAACGGCAACTTGCAAGTGAAAGCAGAGATCTCTTAGTTCAATTTCAGGGCATTATCCCAATTTTATATATTTACACAGGGCTTTATCAACTCAGCTACACAGTCTGTTCCTGCAGTTGACTATATTGCACTGTTGCAGTTACAATAATGTTTGCTCTCATTTCCAGCATAACAATATGTAACATGAATAAATAAACGAATGCTACATTTGTATAGCATTTTTCAAGACACCCAAAGTACTTTATAGAACCAATGGGGAGCCATTTCAACCGTCATCACTGTGTAGCCCCCACTTGAATGATGCAACGGCGGCCATTCTGAGGTGCTGGAGGGGCAGAAGAGAATTCACCAATTAGATGCCACGTCTGTTAAAAGCATATGTACACTATTTATATACAGTATATCCTGTTTTATGTCGGGGCTTGTCTTTCTCTTTCAGGATCCCGGAACAGGAGGCTGTGTCTAGCGTGTTGAAACAGGGGGGGTTATGTTTGGAGTCCGTTGGCACAGAGAGTTTGGGCCTTGGGGAATGCAAGGGCAGTGGATTAAACAGGCCCCAGACTCAGGTAAGTGCCGTCCCAGTCTTGCACTGTGTGCCAACTGCTTTTACATTTTTTTTTTCTTAGTCTTAATATTGTCTGTCTTAGATATTGTTTAGGCTGCATCATGGGCCGTGAAGCGAAACTGTCACTCCTTTTGTGCGGTAATGATGTAGTGCGCTACTCCATACGTGATTCTGACTTTTCCACAGAAGTGGACGTTTGTGGAGCCTCTGATTCGCCAGCAGGACCACTGTCTCGCTGTCACTGGTTTCACCGCCGGGTCAAAAGTGAAGTTGGAGCCCTGCAACCCGAAAGAACCCAAACAGGTTATTGACGGGCTCGTCGTCACTCTCGCCGGGATGATTGTCTGGACCTACAGTGGCAGTGACTCCAGTCATGGCGCTTAATCAGTTTAGCAAAGGAACTCTAACACAAAAGGAACATGCACCTTTCAGTTAAGGACTAAATTTCCAAAACTGACTCAGTTTTTTGTTGTTTTTGAGGTGAGACCACCAATGACTTAAAGTCAGGCTTCCTCATCATATGTAACAGTATTGAGAAGCAAAACCCACTTATTCCTCACGTAATCCAAGAAACAACTTTCGTTATATTTCCAAGACTCATTCATTCCACAGAAATTTTTCTGGAAAACGCATCCTGTGGATTGAGTGAGTTTTGGAAATTTGCTCTTGAATTCTGGCTCCTTGTCTTCACAAATGCATCCTGCTTCATTCCCAAGGGATGGATCTGGGCCAAGATGATTTATAAACTCCGGGTCGCACCTTAAATCCAAACCATGTGTGAGAGATTGTGGAATATGAGCCAACCTGTTTTTCTGTCGTGAGATCACAGACGAAGAACCCAATCTGTGTTCCCCTCAGTGCCATTACAGAATCTCTCCCTCTCCAGAATTGTTTTGTTTCTTGGAATGCAGACTTTTGTCTTTGACCACAAAATTAGTTTTTCAGTTTTAAGCATACATGCTTTCAGCAGCATAGAACATTTATCAGTCACATCTTCTTTCTATTACTGACACATAACCTGCCTGTATTTTGTTCTGTTCGGTTGCTATGATTTAAGAGGACAGGTATATGAGTATCAATGTTTCTGTATGTCACTATAAATTGAGAGCTGATGCTGAATGTTGCCAGCAAGCACATTCACCTCCTTGAATAGACACTAATGCAGTGAATGTGCCTGCATAGAGAAATGCACACGCAACCATAAACACAATATCACTCCACCCTGATTCTGTATCGAGTGCTACTCCCTAGGTTCCACTCGTTTCAGAAAACCTCCATATGTCTCTACTTATCAGTACTTTTCTTTGTCATTAGCTCATGAAATTTAGTCTTCCTTTTCCCGTGTGGTTTTATGACAATGCTAACCATGCTTACTCATAAAACTCGTTTTTCCATTAGGAAGCACTTCAACAATTCCCATTAATGTCTGGCACTGACCTTAAGACTGCGGTCATTAATGCGAGCCCATTTATGAAATGGTAGTTTTTTTCAGGGACTGAAATGCGATATCAAACGCATCTGAACACACACAATGTTAGAATCACAAACACATGCGGTATTCCTTTTTTCATTAGATCCATCTGATAACAGCTAGTGTTAAGTGAATAACTCTGCTCTGTAAAGAACTCTGGGGCAGCTCCAAATGATTTTCATGGATGGGACACAAAGGGGGGACATTTAAAGAAAATTTGTGGGGGGGGGGGCAAAATGGAGAAAGGTGACTGTCAAAATAAAAATGAGTTTTCCTCTAATTTATTCAGCTAATTTCTTCTAATTTTTAAATGGGATGTTTCTTCTGACCTCCTTGTTTTATTTTTCTGCTACACTCCTCACCCTTTTGTTGATTTGCATACAGCACAAGCGTCAGGACTTCAAAAGCAAGGCTTCAAAGCAGCCGTACGCTTCCCATGTTAGCCACTGAACAGCCTAATGGAATCCTCCAGATCCACGCCACTTGCTGTCACGTTGTGTTTCTTTTGTGTCTTTTCCTTTTTCCCCCCATTTATATAGCTTATTTCACATTAAGTCCCTGCAAAGTGATCATTTTATTGACTAGTTTTAAAATTTGACGATACCCGAATAATTTGAATAATATTAGGATACAACTATTAGTGGAATATCACACACATGTTGAAAACAAAGCAAATAATTACTCATATGAAGATGTTAGGATTCATGAATCCATCCATCCATTTCTTGGAACTGTTCAAATAATACTTAGGTACGCTATGTGACATTGACAAAAATATTGAGACACACGTACTGCATAAATTTTGCCAATGCTCTGCTAACTGAGTAACTACAGAGTTCCCAACTTCCTCTTGCATTAATTCCAGCATGATATCTGTGCGCTGGGAGCTTCATGGAATGGGCTCCCATGGCCAAGCAGCTGCAGCAAAGCCCTACATTACTAAATACAATGCGAAGTGTGTGATGGAGTGGTGTAAAGCACACCGCCACTGCACTCTGGAGCAGTGAAAGCACATTCTCTGGAGTAATGAATCACGTTTTTCTCACAAAAATGCTTTTCTGTAAGAATGGCCAAAAAATCCCATAGACACACTCCAAAATCTTATGGAAAACCTTCCCAGAAGAGTGGCAGCTGTTATGGCGACAAAGGGGGACCAACTCCATATTGATGCCTATGGATTTAGAATGGGGTGTCATAGAAGTTCCTGTAGGTGTAATGGCCAGGTGTCCCAGTACTTTTGTCCATGTGGTGTTTATGTATTTGGGAAAACGGTTCAGAATTCTATGATTTACATTAGTCAGAGCCAATTAACATGACGGGAGGGGATTGTTATAGTAACCTAAAGCAACCAAATCCAGTTGTAAATGACTGCAAATGGTCTAATGAGTGGCGCAGCCTGAACTTCTCTGCTAAATATTGGCAGCATTCCTGTGTTGCCAAGTGATGATTCATTTGTTGCTAGGTCTGTATCTCAGTTTTGTCACACGGTGGCGACAATATTCATGACAGCTGCTCCGCTCTCGCTTTTATTTACCCCCCCCAACAGAAGTGGAGACCCAAGGGCCCCGCCCTGCAGCACATGGTCAGCGGTCTCTGCCTGGACAGCCAGCTCCCCCCTGGCCCCATCGCCACCCTACAGTGCCATCACCAGTCGGCCAGCCAGTCCTGGGAGCCACAGCTAGCAACTTGACCCGACAAACCGGGAGGGGCTTTGGGGTGGGGAGTCTGTGGTTAAACTGTAGGATAAAGCTGAGGGTGCTGTTGGGGGCCTGGGGGGAGCTGTGATGGTGCACAGTCACTGTGTGGAGTGTCCAGGAGCTGCTGTCAAAGAAGAAGAATTGTGTTCTGAAACCTTCTGTTTTATCACCTTCTTCTGAATGTCTTTCTAAATATTGCACCTAGGGGCGAGGTGGTTTGAGGTGGGGTGGGTGGGCGGAGCATGTGCACGACTCTCGTACCACTAGTGCTCTCAGCTGTACAGTTCCACGCTTCAAAGTGAACACCTGGTTTCCGTTTCATTAATTGATCTCAAGAGCTTTATTTTTTTAGTCTTCTGTTTTCACTGAGAGTTAGACCACCTTGGCCAGTTTAAAGTCATTGGCACTTTGCGCTACTTGATCTGATTATACCGGAGACATAAGCTGCATAGATGAGTTCATATACAAAAATAATTGTGTGTGTTTGTGTGTAATTAAACCAGCACACACACATGGTTACATGTCTGAGATTTCAAAGCACTTTCCGGCATATTCTGCATGATAGGATCATCTGAACTCACACCATGCAGGAGAAAAGTCAGCTGTCCAGCCCCAAGAATGTATTCTTTGTTTCTTTTTAACTGTGTAAATATTGCTAAAGAAAACTGAACCAGCTTGGGTTCAGATGAAGTAACTATTTGTGTGATTTAAAAAATAAAATAAACGGGAACACAGCATACTTGTATTATTTTTTTGCTTGTATATGAATAAAATGCCTTTTTCCTATAGAAGGAACATCTGCTAAACTGCCTTTGCACTGTGTGACATTCTAATTATGTCATTTTATTTAATATTTATATTTTTAAACAACTCGTGAGTTCTGTGGCATTTATTTTGAAATCTTATTTGCCTTTGTAAAGTATATGCCTGTTCAGATTTGCTCATATATAATACAGTACATATACTAAATAAATGCTCGATTAAGGGAACTTCAATGTATTTTTTTTCTTTGGAAACATGAAAAGTAGTTGTAGGAAAATGATGATGATGTTCAATCTGAGTTGAATCTGTCCGGCGGTTTTCTGGTCTCTTGGAGTTGCCTTGGTGGCTCACTGCGATACTTCAGATCCCCGTCTTTAACAGTGCTGTGTCACCAAAAAACCGTCTGTGCTGCATTTGCTGATGGCTGGGAGTGTCTGAAAGTCCAGCGCTGATCAGTACCAGATGATGCAGCTGTGCTTATGACACGTTATCCACGTTCCATCTTGTTTCTGGCATTGCAGTTACTGCGGTTGGACTGAGGTCTTAGTTTGCAATTTGCAAGAAAACAGCTTGATTTTGCATATAGATTTTTCCCTCTTAATAACATAGTATCCTCCTCAATTAGTGTCAGACCACTTATTAGAAAAGAGCTGCAAATCTATACCTTTAATTGCTATTATCTCAGTAAGTATTATTTTGAAACCTGATGAATGTGATAGGACTCTACCTATAATGACTACTGATTAATTTCTTCTGCTGGTCTGCTACAAATAAGTGTAATTAATCTATATATAATTAACCTTACTATAATTAATCTTACTTTAATGAGTGGATTGCTGTACTCACAATGGAGGTAAACCTAAGAAAAAAAACAGAAGACATCATGATGTCAAAATCATTCATCTTTAGTGAACTTTACATAATTCTGCTTTTATTGGCACTTTGAATATGTAAATCGAGCAGTTCCATCCATCCATCTTCTAACCACTTATCCTAGTCAGGGATGCAAGGAGCCCTGAGGTCTATCCTAAGCAGCTAATGCACATGGCAGAGATCCCAGTCCACCAGGAAGAATGCCGGGCAAGACAGGGGTGTTCAGCAAACTCCACACACAGAGGGGAGATGGGAATCAAACCCCCAACACTGTAGGTGTAAGGCAACAGTGCTACCCCTGGTGTTATACAAACACTGCAAAGACAACCTCAAAAAAAGTGCTGTAATTCAGACTCTAACCAGCAGAGAGAATACTAAGCTCACCAACAGTAAAAACATGTTATTACAGAGAAGTATACTACTACTACTACTAATAATAAGAATACACATCAATAATGGAATAAATGTTTAACTACAAATTTTAGACAGAATTGAAAACAGAAAATATTTTATTTTCAAAAGGAGATATTTCACTTTGAAACGGTTTGCCTAATACTAACGAGAAAAGCTATGTGAGTGATTGAAAGACAGAGAATAAGAGTCTATGGAATAGCCCATGGTGGGATCAGATGCACCTTAGAAAAGTTCAGTTTCTAATGTATCTTTGAAGAGCTCAGATTAGTTCAGTTAGTTCAATGGATCTGGAGCCAAAAATTGAGCTCTTAATCTAATGAGGGAATATTCTGTAATTAACCTTTGCCAAAACAGAGTTTTTCTTCTGTGCAAGTTTGATGCATGTGCACAACATTTGTGGATCACAAGATTTTTCTAGATAGACAAAAGTCCATTCAGGAAATGTTTCTTAACTGTGTTTAACACAGACAGAAACAATGTATTCTTTGAGGAAAAACTCTTGCTGACATTTAATTCACATACAAAGTCACCACCATACTGTAAACTTTAAAACAAGATTTGAACGAGCTTTGAAATTCTGCAATGATGGTAGTTCCAGGCATTGTGCTGAAATTACTAGCTCAGACATATCTTTTCAGTGTTGATATAGCCTCACATCTCAGAAGTTCAAAGACATAGAAGACTGTGAAGGTAAGTATACATTTGTTGTCTGTTTGGCCAACCTCAGGCTTTGGTGTGGGCAGCATCAAAACCATGCATGATTAAACAAAATTACCAATTATCTTTAAAATTATTGCCTTCTTTAATCCATGCAAGGCACAATAATGAGAGGTGTCAGATTTATTACAAAATGAAAAAGTGTGGAGTTTGCATGTTCTCCCTCTGCCATTGTGGGCTTTCCTCTGGGTGCTCCAGTTTCCCCCCAAAGTCCAAAAACATACTGTAGCTTATTGGGGTTACCAAATTGCCCATAGGTGTGTGTGGGTGAGTGAATGGTGTGTAAGTGAATGGTGTATGAGTGAATGGTGTGCCCTGTGATGGGTTGGTGCCCCATCCTGGGTTGTTCCCTGCCTTGTGCCCTGTGATGGGTTGGCGCCCCATCCTGGGTTGTTCCCTGCCTTGTGCCTGTAACCTCCTGGATAGGCTCTGGTGACCCTAACAGGATAAACAGTGAAATGGATGGATGGATGGTTAGTTTTCACATTCTATGTTATATTTTACTGGTGAGCGTTCTATGTTGGTGTATGATCAACGACTTTCATTATTTTTTCTTTGGACATATGGTTTGTATAAAAGCAGTTTTTGTCTTTGGTTCCTCCAAGTGTCAAATTACAGGTAATTACTAAAAGCATAAAGAAAGTCCCTAATAAGAGCGACATCTCCTAAGGTTTTTATAACCAAAATATTGCCCCCAATCATGTAAATTAATTGTGGGACAGCAAAAAAATATTGTGAAAGTGCATCAGAGACAGTAGAAGTACAACTGGCTAGTCAACATCGTCAGCAGACCTGTTCTCAGCATGCCCACCCCACAGCCAATTGGAATGGCAAGTATGCAGCTCAGCTCCAAATCTAAATCTAAACTCTGACATGAAATGATGTCCCACCAAGCAAGTACCATGGGGAGGATCTCACAATACTTAAAAGTTCAAAATACAGGACAGTGCAGGGACTGCACACAAGGGTCTATATAGACGGTGCATTGAAGTAAAGAATGATAATGTATAACACACTGGCATAACTGGTGGAATTAATGGTGTCAGTTAACAGGATATAAATAAATAGATAGATAAATGTTAGCATTGAGTCCTTGGGGGCTCCCAGCAGCACCTGGTCACATGGGGGGTGTGTGGTTTCAGTGTGTCATTTTACCTGAGGCTCTGTACTGTGCTCAGGACCTAGTTAATAAAATTTGATTTTTCTCTAACTTTTTAACTAAGGACCAGTCTTGTATCCCAACAGCAAACACAGGCAGGCCGCATCTCCAAAGAGCAACAAGGCGCACAAGTCAAAGCTCACTGTCAGGCATCGACAAAAACTTAACTGGATAGTTGATGATCACCACAGACGAATGGCCATTAAAATGACTGCAGAACTGAATCAGCACCTCTGTGAGATTGTCTCAAGAAAAACTATATGCTGGGAACTTCACAATGCTGGGATTTATAGGAAGTGGTGACCATTTGTATCCAAGGCCAATGCACAAATGTAAATAAATGGTAGGTAGGGGGACTTTTAAGCATGGGTTTACCCAGGCTAAAGCCCAGGGGCCGCCGGTCTGAAGGGGCCTCAACAAACCTCGACTTGTTTAATGGACATTTAAACCCCCTCCGGTTGACAACTACACAATCTGTTCTGTACCTTGACCATTAAACTCCATGTACTTTCACTGACACCCCGTCTCCCTGTTACGTTCCACCCCTCATGTCCCCCCCCCTCCTGTCTCCTTCCTCACGTGGTCCTGATGAGCTGTGCCTGTTGCTTGTTGCCCCTCATTAGTCTTTGTATTTATGTACCTGTTTGTCTCGACAGCCCCAGTCTGGTCATTAATGTCCACCTCCCCTGCATCAGCCTTCCAAGGACTGATCTGAACTGAAATAGAGGCCAAATTCCTTATTAGGTCCTTGACATTAAAATTTAAATTGTCCACCCTCTCCATGTCTTGCTGTAGGAACCAACAGAATCTTCACTACGTTAAATAAATAAATCTCTATGTCTAGCATGTTCCCTGTCATTATGGATTCACAGCCAAGCTTGAAGCACATTTAACACATCCCATATCTTCTGTCAATTCAACTCTCCCATCCCAGAAAATAATTAAATGAAAATGTAGATCACCCTCAGCTTAGGGGATTTAAAATGAGTGTAGTGTGTGACTGCGCATATGTATGTCTTTCCAGTACAGGTACTGACATAGAGCTTAAATTTCCAGTGTTCCACAATTCCTTGTGCTGGAAAACTGAGATCTGGGAAAATAAGGTAAGGGAATATAGCAAGCAAAGAAAAAGCAACGTAAGTTTAAAAAATCTATTTATTACAAATAATACAATGCAACACAATGAATTGGAAAAATGCATGGATATCCCAAAGCAGGCCATATTAAGGGCAATAAAATGTATGTCAATTAAAAGGGTAGATTTGCAGCAGAGATTTAGAATGCTTAAAGACCATATCATCTTGTACATGACAGAGAAGCTACAGTAAATGCTGAAGCAGCCCAGTGTCTAAAACTGTGGTGTTTAGCGCCAGCATAGTCAGCAATCTATTCAATGCCCCGAGGGACTTGTGAATTAGAGTGTTTTGCTTGGGTGAGCCTGATAAGTGATTGTTAAGATCTTAGACTTCATGTTGCGTTTGTTAGACTGTTACTGTGAACTGTAGAAAGTAGTGATTGTAGTACAACTTCTGTTGGCAGTAATCGTCAGCACATATGTACATGGAGGTAAAATGCATGCAGCTCAACAGAATTTCACACACATACATATATACACACACATATATAAAAATTCTATGGACCTAGCAAAAAATAACATAAATACACTGCATTTAAATTTCCTTAAAGTATTAAAGTTCTTTCCGCAAGATTTAGGGAGAGACACATTAGAAGTTTGCAAAATAACTGGTCATCCGTACTGTGTTCGTCGCCGAAATTCCTGATTGCCATATGCTTTGGCCAATCACACCTCGGGAATTCCTGCCGCACATCTTTTTCGATCCAATCGCGTTGATCCTGGGGCGGCCCGTTGCCAAGGGCGAGTTAGGTTGAGCAAGTCAGTTTCCACAGCGGATTGAGCAGGTGAGGCGCTTGGCGTAAGGCGGCGTTAGTGAGGAGGCAGCGAGGTGTCTCCTCGGTGTAACTTCCTTAAAATTTAATTTATTTGGACTGTTTTGCAAGTACATAATTTAGTTCTAGCTGGAATAGTTACTTTATACAACCTGA